GGAGAGAGAGATAGAAACATCAATGATGAGAGAGAATCATTGATCGGCTGTCTCCTGCATGCCCCCTACTGGGGATCGAGCCCACAACCCGGACATGTGCCTTGACCTGGAATTGAACTGTGACTTCCTGGTTCATAGGTCAGTGCTCAATCACTGAGCCACACTAGCTAGGCTGGGCATTCTTACTGTTTCAGAAGAAGGGACACAGTTGTATTAATCACATTCAATATATGAACACGTTGATTACATCAATTTCATCAGCTCAGTTTAGAACTTATTTTACTTAGTAAAACTGCTTCCTTTCAGACCATTTAATATCAAGTTAATCATCTGCAAAAGGTGATTCAAGTTAAATTCCTTATCCAAAGGCACTGTACAGCAATCAAATTTACAAGCATTAAAATAAAGTTCAACATGCTCCTGTCATAATACATTTGATTAATTCTAAATTTGGGGGCTTTTAGTATTCATTGTCAGAACTATAGTATGAGTAAAGTGCTGACCAGGAAGTCTTTTTGAGTACAGGAGATATCTATCATCATTATCTTAGTGTCTCCAATGAATATACAGTCCTTTTAAGCTGCATTTATAGTCCATTAAAAAATTAAAAACAGTAATTCACATTTGCAAAAGTCATGAAACATCTATTGATATGCAGATCTCTAATTTCTAATGTGAACATTGCTCTTCCTCAGTATTTATGCAATGTTTGATCAACATAAACAACTTTCAGATAATATTGCAGATATTTTTTTTCTTAGAGCTGCATTTTGCAAGCTTATTAAACACTTCCAGGACTAGAAGCAGTGATGTATGTGTACTTTAGAGATTTTCCTAAGTAAATGGAGTGTTTGTGAGAAGAATTAGTAAGGTAACATCAGCCACTGACTTTCAGAAAACAATATCTAGCTCATTTGTATCATTAAAATGTTCTCTACATTCCAGTAAAGTTTGTCAATTCTTCTCCAAGATGATTGTAGGGAACATTCAAGGTGTTATTTTATGATATAGTACTCATGCCTCAGGGATCACTACTTTGTCTCATAAGCATTTGGGTTAGTTAGAACTCCTAGCAATATGGATTTTTAGGAATATATTTCAATCAGAAACTCCAGTACACCCAAACTGAGCACTAATGGTTGCATAGTAACAATTATCAAATGCACATCAGAAATATTCATTCAATCTACTGCAATGAATTCCAAGAATAATGGGAGACTGTTTAATTTAGTGTAGGAAAAAGTTATTATGATCCAGCTTCTTGTCTTAATTGATTTCATAGAAACGAGTACTTGCATAATAGTATTAAAAATATTTCCAAGGATACTTTAATGTATTCACTCACTCAGGAACTAGTTACTGGACACCTATGTGCTAAGCACTAGACCAGATAACACATAGATAAATATATCTCTTCTTTCAAGAAGCTTAAAAGGAATTATACTTAAGAAACCTACAAAGTGATTTTGATTCCAAAACAAGAAGTACTAACGTGTATGCAAATAAAATGCAAATATGCTCTGAAGAAAGATTAAATTTCCGAACTGATGAGGCTGTTTAAAATTATCATCCTGAAATCAGCGATGAGAACTGTTACATGAGGTTTCACTTACCCTTACTTTAAGGTAACAAATTCACAGATGAAGTGAACAGAAATGTTGTTAATATTGATTATAAAAATATATGTTTCTATATAGGGGCTGATGTTTGAGAGTTAAAGAAGTTTATGTAGGATGGTGATGTGTTATAAAAGTTATCCTTAATAGGGTAGTGAATGGCCCCTTGTTCCCACAGCATTTACCACAATGGAAAACCCTGGATCATTAAATGTCTTTTAGAGTTCAATGAAAATGTTAAATAAGATTTCTGGACTGGACACACTGCCTTGCCCTGGCCTTTAGCTTCAAAATTTCTCAAGTCTCTTGGAAGGAACACCAGAGGGGAAAGCTCCTAGAAAGAATCCTCAGAGTTCTGGACACAACCCTATCTGAACTGCTTGAAAGTGCTAAGAGGAGCACACTTAACAGCTGTGCAAACCAGTCATCTTTCTGAGGTTTCCATAACCCGTGCCAAGCAGTGGCTTGCAGAGCCATTTTAATCCTGTTCCGAGTATTTAGAAATACATGCTCATGTAGGAGAGATTAGAATGCTCTCTAGTACTTCAGAACTGAAAACTTTATAATTTTGTTAGTTGGAAATACAGCTTAAATACAGGATTGTATTGTGCTTTTTGACTTGGAAAACAAATTTCAAAAGATAATTTCCTTCTGTGTTTACACTATTTAATATTTTAAAATCTGACATGTTATGCACATTTGGAAAACAAAATCTGTTGAATGACATAACTTTGAATTATAGTAAAAGTGAAAAAAATTTGAGAAAATGACACCTGTTGTCTTTTTCTGATTAGGGTTATGTTATTTTCTGTTAATATCTAAGTACTTGTCTCTGTTTTGAACTCTTATGATATTTTAATAAAATAATTTTGTGTATGGAAAAATTATTGTGTGACCAAAATTTCAGAAGACCCCAAAGTTAACTTGTAAGATGTGATACTGATTAACAAAGGGAAAACAATTATACATATATGCAGAAAATGTATTAACATACGGACTGATAGCTTAATTCAAAATTGAATAAAAACAATTGTGTATGCCATGCTGTCAAAATAAGTGCATGCCATGCTGTCAAAATAAGTCTTTCAATTTAGTAACAAGTGATATTCAGAAAGGGTAATTTCTATTTATATTCATTTGGTATTTGCATTAGGGATTGTTTTTAAACTTCTCCTAAAACAGATATACTATTGTATCTTTTAAAAATGGTCTTCAGAAGTTATAATTTAAGATGAAATTAGCAAAGGAAAAATCTGGAAAAAAATCCCTTTTATTACCACTTAAAAATGAACATTAAGTTTTAAAAAAGCATTGCCATAAATTTCACATTAATCATCACTATGCACAGCATCACCTTGTACCTCATCAATACCTACTCCTATTGAGAAAACCCTGTGCTTATAACTATAACCACTGAGCCAGCCAGTATTAATTAAAATGACCTGCACCCTGACTGATATCGAAGTTATCTGAGAGAGTCAGTGTGGAGCCCAGCATGTTTAACTTATCAAGTGGAAGTGAAATAGACCGATACATAAGTACTGTAGAAGTCTGCCTTATCTAATGCCTTCTCTTAATGAATTCACAATTTGAAATTGCTTTTACCTTATAATCCAAGAAAGAATTCACTTGTTCTACTTCAGAATTACTTATCATGTCACTTTCTTCATCGTCAATAATTTCTATTTTCTGTAACACAGGTAGAGAAGTTTTCATAAATATAGATTTTATCATCATCACTACACTCAACAATGTATAGAGTGTATACATTCAATGTTCAGCTTTAGCTAAGGGATTATCTAGTCTAGGATATCCGGAATAAACACAGGTCTCCTAGTGTTAACACACAGTGTTGAGTCTAAGCCCCTTCTCTCGATCTTCACTTGATTACTGCTTAGAAAATAGAAAATTACTGAAGGGAGGATAAGGGGGGAATTCATAATAGTGTCAACAATAAATAAATTTAATTTAATTTAAAACGAAATCACTGCTATACTATTTAAAATAGAAAAACAAAACAAAACAAAGAAACAAACAAACAACAACAACAACAAAAAAAAAACCTTTCACAATATCCCTTAAAAAACAGGCATTCAAATTCTGCTTAAATAGTGCCCTCCAGTGACAGGGAAGTGTTTTTCTATAAGGGCAGTGTATCTAAAGGTAACCATACTTAATTGGTTTAAATATTTTTTAAGTCCTCACACATCTCTGCAATTTCTAATGTAAAATTTCAACATAAGACATGAATTGCAAAGTCAAATACATTTTTTAAACAATTCACTTATTTACTTCACTCCATTAGCTAGACAATTGAAAGCAGACATGTATGATGTAATGATCAAAATAGCATGGTTATGTGTTTCCTTCACTGGACAGTAAGAAGGAAGAGTGAGGAGAGAGATGCTAAACTGCTCTTAGTTTTAGAGTTAAGGTACAGAATAGTTTGTACAGTATCTTATACACAGAAGGCACTCATTAAATATCTGTCAAAAGAATAAATAAAACAACTTAGCACTAATGAAAAGAATGATCAATAAGCTTCAACCCTGGGGCAAGGCAAGTTCTCTAATCCTGGAACATTTTTCCAAAAGCAAAACCAAAACATAAGACCAGCTCTAATTTTTACTTTTGCATATGAAAAACAGAGTTAAGGAAAAACAATTTTAAATGTTTAAGCCCAACCAACCCAAAAGAATTTTTTTAACAGAAAAAAGTTAAGCTAGAATTAGTCACTGGGCAGTCTTTTTAGAAGGAGCACATTAATAGCAACATATTGTAGGCAGAATTTGAAAACAAGTTCCTACCCAGCAATATATATATGATTAAAAGTCACAAACAATCTTGGAATGATCATATTTGACATATTTTCTATGAGAGTACAATACCATAACAGGGGTTGTGACCTGTAGGCTTCTGAGTCAGGAGGACAGCTGCAATTAAATTGCTTTCTAATGCTGCCTGGAGATGAGTCTAATGTTTTGTTTTTATTATAATCACTATAAATTCAGGACTTAATTCTGTCAGCTCTCAGCAGACCTCTGATTTGATCATTTTTATGTTATTTTTAAGATTCTCAATATATTTTGATTGGTTCTGGAATAAAGTAGCTAAGTAATCTAGGGAGGAAGGCATCAAAGGCCACTGTATAGATTTGTGCATATAAATAGATCTTATATGTCTTTGTGACTTGGTATGCATGAATAATTGGGGACACTCCAAAGCTACAGGCAGAGCATATCAACCTTTGAAAGTCTGGACTTTTGTCTCTGAAAATCAATTGCTCTTGAAAAATTAAGTGCCTAAGTGACTGTGGGTCACCCCACGCCACTTCTTCATTCATTATCTTCAAATGTCTGCTGCAGGGGAGATCCAGTTCAGAGAAATTCAGGCTAAAATGAGTATGTCTTTAGGGGAAAAGAGGTTCAATATGTAACTTGTATAATGTCGCTCAAATCTGGAGCAGAGAAGATTATTACTTGGTGGGATTTAAGAATACTAGCACAATTAATAATCGTGGGAAACAATTATAACTACCTACATAATAAAAACATGATTCTGTCTCAAAATAAAAACTTGTTTTCCTATGCTCCCATCGAATGTAGTGTTAGAAGGGTCAAACATCAACTTAAGTCAGGACTAAAATCAACAACATGCAATCCTCAACAATATTGTGCATGTAGAAAACATATATTGTTGATGTTTAATAAAAAAAGAACAAAACTGTATTTTATGTGCTTAACTTTCATTAAGGAGATGTGGCAAGATTACACTGTTTGATAAACAATGTTTGTAATTAAAGCCAGGGTAAATCTTGAAGTTACAGTCATTTTGTCACAGAAAAATCCATTATAGGGACCATTTTTTTTTTCACATGTAGGGTGCTTATTCATAGTAAGGCCACAGGTTTTGTTCTCCTTGTCACAATGACCCCAGATTCCTGTTGACTCTGTTGTGAACCAAAGAACCATTTCCTCAGGCCCTCTGCTCTGAGCATGCCCCATAGGGGCCATTTTTAAAAAGTTGCAGTTAGGCACAAAACACTTATTCAAAAGCAAAAGCAAAGCACAATGACATTTGCCTTTATGTCTGACTTTAATACCATCTTGATATTTGTATTACTTGAAAGACTCAGAATATGAACAGATATTGCTAATAGAGCTCCTTAGAGGACAGCTCTATATACCAATAATGCTTATATTTGTACAAAACCCAGTTTAATCCACACATAGCTTGTCTCTGCCTGCTATTCAATTGCTTAATACTGTTTTTCCTCCATTGATGCAATTTTTAAGCTAACTAACAGAGTCCAATTAAGTAGAAAGAAGAAAAGATTCCAAGCACACTATATAAGATAGATATGGTCTGAACAGAGACCTTGAGTAAGAAATCCTTGGATACAAGTCCCAGAATCAACAAAGGCTTCCTTCATAATCTCAGGCTAAACTCTATTTTAATTCTGCTGTCTATGAAATGAGAAGAAATCTGGTTTTTTGCTAAATGTGTTTAAGAAAATAACTTGTTATGTATAAAATGTCCTATGTGTAGTAAGCATTAGATTTTTATATTTGCAATCTCTTAAATTGAAAAATCTCGGGTTAAATTGACAGTGCTTTAAATTTCATTTATTAAACTGTCAAAGATATAGAATTCCCTGGTAACGGTTCTGTTTTAGTTTTTAAAGTGGAGCTAGACTTTATTCTGAAAATACTAATATCATCACCAACGAGGAGCATATCCTTGAAATCCATCATGTAATGAGAAAATAATTTCAAAATGTACATACCACATTATCTTCGGATACTGCATGGTGGTCCTCCTCCTTATCAGCCCTTGTCTCATTAGGAACAACTTCATTGGACTCTTCCATAGACAAAAAGGCCATGATTTCATTTTACATTCCTCAAAACTTTATTGAGAATGTTTTAGTCAAGATCAATTAAATAATCTATTTTAAAAGACACATATGGCAAATTCACTTCATATATGCTTTGTTGAGCCACTCTACTTCTTAAATATGGATAGGTAAAAATACAAAGATGGTCACCATTGTGTTATTTATAACTGAAAAAAATGGAAGCAACCTATATGCTTAACCATGAGAATTGGAGAAGTCATTTTGGGCCTATCCCTACAATAAAAGCAATGAAGCTACTGAAAATGAAGTGGAAAAATTGTTGATAATTAATAAAATATTCATGATATGTTGGAAAGTGAATAAATAAAAGTGACAAAATCTACTATGTAGGCACACTAAAAAATGTGTACATATTCCTGCAGAAAGAAAACTAACACTATTTACATAAAAACATTGACATTATTATTTCTGGATAAAATTATGGGGAATTTTTATTTTTCTTCCTTTTGTCGAATTTTACTTATTTTCTTCCATTTGCTCTTTCATAATTAAACATTTTTTTAATATATTTTATTGATTTTTCACAGAGAGGAATGGAGAGAGATAGAGAGTCAGAAACATTGATGAGAGAGAAACATTGATCAGCCGCCTCCTGCACATCCCCCACTGGGGATGTGCCCGCAACCCAGGTACATGCCCTTGACCGGAATCGAACCCGGGACCTTTCAGTCCGCAAGCCGACGCTCAATCCACTGAGCCAAACCGGTTTCGGCCATAATTAAACATTTTTAAATGAACATGCATTACTCATTGCAATAAGAGAAAAGTGATAATTTTCAAATACATGATATGATATAAAGCTATAAATATAACATGTTTCCAATTTTTTTTAAAAAGCAGGTGTTTGTGAATGCACGCACGCGCACACACACACACACACACACACACTATTGTACATATGTAGAGAAAACACTGTCCAAAACTTCCCCCATCTCCATTTTTAAAATGGTTATCACTGAGGGGTAGGGTTATTTCCAAAATTCTTATTGTATTTTCCAATGTTTTCTATAATGAAAGTATATTCCTTTTATGATCAAAATTCAGTATTTAAAAAAAATGAGAAATAAAAGAAAAATTAATCCAGAGAACCCAGACTACTAAAAGGTTCTCTGTGTTGAGGTAGAGGAAGTGGTTCATTCACAGCATAGGATATCTACAATAAAACCGCCTGTTTTAGATTACCCCTAACTCTACTTCTTAGGAAAACAGGGAAGCAATGTTTCTCTCTGGTCTTCATGCACAGCCATATTATGGAGATTATTTGCATAAATACTAGTGGAAGTCTTTAGCCCCTTGGTGACTGACATTTTATTTCGCCATATAAAGCAGAACAAAAATATTTATCAGCCCTTGAGATTTTTTCCAAATCCATTCCTTTCCATGGAAAGACATATAGGTGTGCTCTGTATGAACATGGGGATGATTAGGAGGAAAACATGGTTGATCTAGGAACAAACGTATGAATACATAGATAATTAGTGTTTAAGCATCCAGGGAAATTTTACTGGAGTTTTAATGCAAAGTTCAATTTATTTTTTAAATATATTTATATTGAGTTTAAAGAGAGGTTTGGGGTGGGAGAGAGAAATAGAAACATCAATGAAAGAGAAGCATCAATTGGCTGCCTCCTGCATGCCCTCTACTGGGGATTGAGCCCTCAACCCGCTGACTGGAATCCTGGTTCATGGGCTGATGCTCAACCACTAAGCCACACCTGCTGGGCTATTTTTAAAAAATAAAATAATGGAGAGAAACCAAGATGGCGGCACAGGTAAACAGAGAGAAATAAACATCAATGAAAGAGAAGCATCAATTGGCTGCCTCCTGCATGCCCTCTACTGGGGATTGAGCCCTCAACCCGCTGACTGGAATCCTGGTTCATGGGCTGATGCTCAACCACTAAGCCACACCTGTGGGTGTTTTTTTAAAATATGTTTTCGTCTGCTCAGATCCATTAAATGAGTGAGATCTAAATTAGAGCCTGGTGTCCCTGCTGAGGAGGCCAGGTTTGGGGCCTGTATTGTTGTCCCCGACGACTCTTCTCTAGATATGCAATTCCGTTCCAATCTTCTGTTCATTCGACACCCCTCTGAGTCCCTGCACTGTGCCAGGGACTTGGAGGGAGAGCATTGGTCCTTGGTCTAGAGGAGCTCCAAGAGTTGGGAGGATGTGAACACAGGGAGTCGAGGAATCGGGGCTTGGTCTTCTAAGACCCAGACGGTGGCCCCAAGCTTGTGCTACAGAGGCCTGGTTGGGGGGGGAGGC